ACTATAGAATCATCTCAGTTAAATCTAAAATCTTTCGTTTGGGGTTTAGTATAATCTTTTTAGTATTCCGTGCCCCAAGTATACAACTCATCCTTGCCACGTAACCCGTGGGATACCAAAGCATGTCGTAAAAGCGAAGTTTACGGGTCCTTGTCGTTCGAAGGTGGATTCTGGAAAGCCCAAGATCATCTTGCTGACCTGTCATCGTTATTCAAGATGAGTAGCTGTTCTGGCGAATCTAAGTTCCTTTAGGTCGAATTGAACCTGATACTATCCGGATCCAAACTGGTGACACGCACGAGCGTACGCATTAAAGCTCTCAGCCTCACAATGGTCCAAAGTGCACAGGCCGGATCATTATGATCAATTTCTTTCAAATATTTCATATTGTTTCAAAAGAGATTTTCTTAGATTCAAATATGAGGTTCAAACGATGAATTTACTGCAGAGAGGAAAAGCCTCAATGTTGTCAATTGGGCACATCTAGCAAGTGGCTATGATGTTGCTGTGGTTGATGAATCATTAAAAAATAGTGGTCACAAAGGTTACCTATCAAATTGATGTGATGGTCATCGCTCATGCACGGTCAATGAAAGAAGCTGAAAATTGATAGCTTCTGTTGTTTACAGGCAATTATCCACCCCAGAAACTTTCGGAGTTTTGGAATTATATTGTATAATAATTAATTAAAAATATCTATTTGATCTTAATCATATGCCTTCTATGAATTTCTTTGGATATTATGATATTTGTGTAATTTGTGTGATATAAAAACATGTTTTAAACTTTAAACATATAGATATGGTTTACCTTACTGAACTTTGAACCCCTAATGACTACAAATCAATATTGTTGTTAATGTACGTCTGTCCATATCGTCTTCACATGTGTGAGACGTTGTCATAAATTTCAAGTTTGTAATACCGACAAGACATTTGCTGCAAGTGTCATAAATACGAAAAATAGAGTGCTCTTTGGTTTGAAAAACATAAAGCATAAACTACAACGATTCATCTAGACACTAGTTACTCTATCAATCAAGCTTTCCTTATCAGTACTTACAGATTCACGAGATCCACATCTAGTTACATCGTATAACCAGATCTCAGGTCGTTGATATTTTTCTCATGCTTATAACTTGTGTGTATATGGTTGAAATTAAATGCCCAAGGGCAGTGACCATCTATCTAAATGTCTTCAGTTCTTGCTAAAATTTAACCAGTCGGATCTAGGGTTCTGCACATTCCTCAGCGAGTTAGAGCAGTACGGTTCCTGTAGAGATAGATTTACGAGATCCAATCAATGCTTTGCTGGTACTAGCAAGGCCTCCTGCAATTCGTTGTACGACATTTAGAGATTCTACCTTTTAAAACAACCTGTCCATGATTGTAAGACGGGTGGAAAGTATATCCAGGTTATTCAAACAAAAGCCAACCAAGTGTCTTCGCTTCCTCTTGAATATTCTTCGGGAACGGAACGTGCCGGAATCTTCGAAGGCAGAGAGAAGCTTAAATGGGCTCTCACTGGGGAGGCAGATTCAACTCTCCATATAGCACATTTCAGGCAAACCTTTCTCTGTGTTCTTTAAGTGTTCTCTCTAAATGATATTTGTCTAGAATAGTAATTAAGTTTGTCCTCTGGGTTCATGGGCATGAAAATCGCCCACACAAGTTCATACCTACTGAAGCCAAAGAGTCTAAAGTTAACCCTGCAACTTATTGCATCCGGGGAGTGCGGTGGGGTATCGCGCGCAATAAAGTCAATTCCGCCCTTCGGCGCTTCTTTTGTTAACGCAAAGAAGTCTCCTTAGGTTTCTGCACGGAGCGCGAAACAAAAGATTTTCTCCATTTTTCATTTTTGCGTGTTTTCTTGAAGAATCATGTGCCCGAGCCAAAGAAGGGGTTTTCTAGCGGAGCTCATCACGCTGATAAATCATCAACAATGATTCATCAACGCAGCTTGCAAAGAGGTATATGCATAACGACTTGCTAAATGCGCGCGATTGACAACTTTGAGGGTTTTCCTTTGTGGAGCTCCGCACTTTGTTTGCGAACAAAAGGTGCAGCAAAAGGCAGGAGCGAAACCGTTAGAGAATATAAAGAGAGATTTCAAAGCAGGGCACACACGTCGAACCAGCAGAAAACGGCACATAGGTCCCGTGAATCCTACATCCAGAGAACCTCAGCGTCACGATTTGGGAACGAAACATCGTAGAGTAACATTGACAAAAACAAATATTCTTATGCGCCAGTTACACGAATGCTATTCTCCACAGCAAAGTCTACTCCCGGTTTCCATGTTCGGAAAGGAGATAATCTTCCAACGTTTCGTTTTGGGGCCACCTTGGTACGTCTTTGAGTGCCCAATGTGGATATTCTCCCTGCAAGTGCTTGATGTTCTTCCATTGACATATATTTCAGAAGATATGAAAACTCACCGATCTTTCCATGAGGTGAAATTTTGAAAGCTACACCAACAATGGACTTAGTAGCGAAGAGAGAGAGTCTCTTCGATATGACTTGACATGTATGAAAGCATAATTTTTCTTTGTAAGGTTGTCATGAGTTTATCTGTTGACCCAGGAATTAATCCACGCACCTTCAACAGGTATTTCTGCACATACACAATTCATCACAATATACTGAGTATAATACACCAACACAGATGTATATTTTCTTATACTACTATCTTATTTTTCACGAGGACATAACGTTCATCACCAGGACATAAATTATAGATTTACAGTCCATCCAAATCCATTTTGTAATTCATATACTCCAGGTTTATGAATCGTAGCCACTCTTCAGTTAAAACTCTCACTCTCTAATATCGACTTTCGAAAAATTCAGCTCTCATTCCAAGTACCTATCATCCGTGGGTATCCCAACAGAGCTGTTGGCCTCCACAAAGCCAGCTGCACAATGGGTTCTAACTTTGTTTGATCCTTCACATTAGTATCTACCTACTGAGTAGGTAATTACTAAAGAGGTGACAATTGTCTAAAAATACAGTATTTCAGAGCGTATCACAATCGACATCTTTCAAGGCTATTTCCATCTTCTAGCATCATCAGCAATTCCGATACTGGCAGGTGTTCGGAGGTCTTCCTCGATGTTTAAGCCGTCAATCTATCAAGAAAGGAGATAGGTATACCTAAGGTCGATTACAAGGCACGGGTTAAGAGGAAACGAGGGACCAGACAGTTAACAAGATACAGCGAAGTGTGGACCCTGCCACTTGGCTCCGGTCCTCCTGTTCAATCGATCCCGGATAAGATATCCTTGTTTCCCTGCAGCGTTTACAAGAACATAACTACTAAGGGAACTACGTCGTCGTTGTCAAACTTTTCCTCAATATAACAATCTGAAGAAAATTTCGAGGTTCAGTAAGACAGACCCGTGGAAATATAGTGGCCTGGACAAACAAACCGGGCAAGAGGAATTTGTTCTCTGTTCAAGATTTGAAATTTCAAATAGCTCCTTACCAGTATGTGCTTGGCTTGTAAGTCAAGTGCAGGAAAGAATCCGCGTTCAGCTTCCAGTTGCCAGCACTTATTGGAGAGTCCCCGGCACCCAGGGCACAAGATTCGAAGAGAAACTCAAGATGCAAAAAATCGAGGCCAGGAATATGTGGCCTCTGAAGTGTTGCAGACCGTAAAGATCCAGGGACTCGTCCACCAGCAGCGAGCATGCTAAATTGCTTTGTTGGGAGGAAGGACAAAACCCCCAAGCAGCAGGAATGCTGCTTTTTAAGTATCCGTAGCATCACTCACCAGATTCTCCGAAAAGACCAAAGCCAAGACGAGGATTCGTGCCCTGACTTTACATCTTCTTTCTATAGAACTGTTTCCAGTTTGGTTTACATAGAGTACGGATGGCGTAATAGGCGTCGTAGCCGTATTAACCACATGATACTACTCCAACCTTCATTCTAAACTTCCAAATCGACGACATGCACGTGTTTTTACAACTACGTGAACTTTTCGAGAGGCAATGCTTTTACAATACTAATTCGCTGTCTCGTCCTCGGAGTCTGGACTCAGTTCATAGCTTGGAAACCACACCAAACCCGAGAATACCAAAGGAATTGAAGTGCAAAGGACATTCTGTACTTATGAGCAACTGAGAGCCGTATGGTTTATGGCGTACAACCATGGCAACTCTGGCATTTTCCCTTAGAACTGAACGTACAATAATCTGTACGGAAGTCTGCTATCGTAGATTCCTAGCATGTGTAGAGAGAACTCTATGTGCTCGTACGCGGTTCTTCTCGGGTACATCGTAAGTGTACAAAATGAGGAATGGGAAATTTGTTTAGAAAATAAAGATGCTGCCTCTGTTACAAAATGTGAGGCTGTTGCTGGCTTGAGATGCATACTTCTCTTTGTTTCCTCTCAATGGTCTCTGCCCGCGCTCAGGCCGAAACGATTGACTCAGAGATTCCAACAAGCTACGGAATTCTTGTTCACCGTCTTGGCTGCCAGCAGCGGCTGGGCAGGCAGGGCTTTCTTTCTGCAAGTATTCATATCTGCATTTTGCATTCTTGCGAAGCCGCATCTTATGCGACCTTAAGCGTCGCGTATGTGAATTCGATCGCAGATTCTCCTGACTTGGTCCAGTCTACCGGACACACTCACAGTCTCTCGCTTCCGACCTTCCGCAAATGGACCCTTGTCGCGTGTCCAAGCATCGAAGAACCAGTCATGCCTCGACAAGTGGACGAGCATCTTGGGGAATGGAAGGGGAATGTTAAAAGGTTTCTGAGCTTCAGTCTCAGTGATTCGATGACAAACAGGTGGCCCACCAACATTCGTTTATCGGGTCTGGAATGTCAACGATACTAAAGTGTTTATGTAAAGAGTACTAAAGAGTTAATTTCGGCTAATCCGCAAGGGGATGACTCTGGAAAGCGGATTAAGGTAGTGAACAGTGATTTCACATTAACATGTGCTGATAGAGCTCTGAAAGCTAGTGTCAGCCTGTAAGGCTTTTCACTTCATATTTTCTTATGGAAGACTTATGACATCCGTCTTGACCATCCATCCTCTGATGTGGCCCGAGAATAAGTCAAACTTCTCTGAAAATCTGTCGTATTGGGATCAAAGGTTGGTAATGAAATGTCCGCCAAAATCTCACTTATCGTGGCATTGGGCAGTTCATCGTCTGGTGAGTTGCTCTGTTTCTCGACAAGCTCTTCGGAATTGTTGTCCGTCGAAAGTCGGAAGCTTAGGAAACAACGGTTCCCACAAAAGAAATCTGACTCCGCTTCGATTCGACCATGAGTTCAAGACTCGTAAAGGCTGGAAATTCGAGTGGAGCTGGAAAGTATCTCTCGCTGCTCTGAACTAGGCTGAACTGGAAGCAATGACTTCGGAGGAATTACATGGAACGTAGCTGCAGCTGAGAGCGTAGACGTATTGCGTTAGGACGGCAGCGTCAGGAGCTTTCCATAGGCAGGAAGGTGCTATGAGGATTATCGGGTCTACGAAGGGAGCTATGAGCCGGCTGTGGATTTTTGCGTATCTGATGTCGTACGTTGGGTCTGTGACTTCTCAACGTGTAAACACGGCTCCTGCAGAAAGTGAGTCCTCGTTTAAGGTTTGGTGTTCACTCTGGCTTGTTTAGTGGACACTGTTCTCGTTTATAATGAAGTCTAGAAAATGTAATTTGGAATGTTAAGAGTTGCATCGGGGTCAAGAGAGGTCACCGCTGCTGTTTTCAACTTGACGATCAGTAGTCGTACTGAATCTCACGCGTTTAGTGTCTACCTGAATTGGAAGATCGAAAGCTGTTCCTTGGTGGATCAACCATCCCAAAGTTTAGGGTTCAGGTAAGAACCTGAACATAAACCACAATCAAGCAGGAAAGTCAACATGGTAGTCTACCTTTAGGTGCCAGGAAAAAATGTAGAAAGAGCTCGAGGTTTATTATAATTGTGTCGTCCCTCTGTTTCAAACTTCTAGAGCTCGCTATACTTGACATATACACAATTCTTCACAGTAATAAAGTAGTGGCTACAAGAAGCTCCGCCCCAAATCTCGCTGAAGAAATGACGTTTCAAAAATGCTAGTTTTATACATATTGAGCCATGTGAACGTCATACTACCGAATGAACATAGCCTGACTCGTCAGCAATTCCCTGGCAGTCGTGAACTCTTGAACCGAAGCTTGTTTCTCTCTTCAACTAATCTCTGGAGACAAGCAGACACTTCACGGTCCCGCGAGGACAAGCAATATATTTCAACGCGTCTCGTATTCAGTCGTAAGGTCTGTTTATGGTATGATTGGTACCTATGCACTGACTCAGTCTTTGACGAGAATCTTACTTGCTTCGTAAACCAACGACTCTTCTCATACTTTGCTTTCGAACAAATGGGGCTGAAATATTTTGTCCTAGAGGCTCCAAACAATTGTTCTATCTGATCCTTCTGCTTTTACAGAAGAGGCATTGCTCGCGTTCAAAGCCGCTTTGCGTGATCAGGACCGACTTCTTGAAGATTGGAAACAGAGCACCGATCCTTGTTTCGATAAGTGGTATGGAGTGTACTGTGTACCCACAGATGGACCCGCGAATGTCGATACCAATTTCGAGCACGTAACTGAACTGTGAGTCTACGCCTCACCTCTCAACAGTGGAAAAGCTATTAGTACAATCCTTCTGTGAACTTGAATTTATAGTTTGTATGCTTACATGTCTACACGCATGAGTTGAACATGAGAGTACAGAAATGGCAGAATTCATGCTGTCTCCGTATAAGTACGTTTTGGCGATGTATGACTGATTGCTTGAATCAATCGCTTTGATGTGCAAAATATCGGTAGAGCGGTAAAGATGACTTACCAAAACAACGAACACCCACATGTCTGTATTTCCTCGTATTGTTCACTTGTTACACTAATCGTTTCTCTAGAGTTTTTGCTCTGCTAGATTACGTAATGTAACTGAAGTCAAAAGATTCTCGTCTGTTCATTTAGGAATAGAATATATGAATTAATCACAGTGTAACTTCAAGACCTCTCGCAACGAATGAGGCTCATTCTCTGAGAATAGATACACAACAAGGACTTTCTCGAACTATAATGAGCTTACGACAGTAAGAGAGGGGATATTCCCCTTCGATTGCTTAGATCTTCATAAGTCGCTGATGACTAGCGTTGGGAAATCGAATTTGAAGATTTGCCATAGGTGAGTCTTATCTGAGACATCTCTCAACTTCCTTCCAGATCATTCTTTTCATGATCCGGTTATGTGCAGGCGCCTACTGAAATTAAATCTGGGCGGAAATTTGGTTCCAGAGCTTGGGAATCTTACAGCCATAAAATACTTGTGAGTCAACCAGCTCTTGTTGCACAATATACGTTGGTGACATATCTGCTTTCGAAACACTTAATTGATCCTCTTGCGGAAACGCGCGAGATATGTTACCAACGTTTCCTTCAGAAAAATCATCTCAAAGAACAAGTATTGATTAAACTAATTTATTGTTGTGTAAAGAGACCTCTATGGATGTTTGCTCGAGGGTACGATTCCACCTGAGCTTGGAAAATTAACCAATCTCTACTCGCTGTAAGTCCCTCATATTCCAATAGAAAGTCAATTGTATTTTGCTTTGAATCTATTCGAGAAAAAATTTGTTCTCATTGGCCTTGGCGCTTGAACAGGACGTTGAGTGGGAATAAAATTAGCGGTGTGATGCCCAAGGAGCTTGGCAACTTGATCAATCTTAACCGCCTACAGTTGGACGAAAATGAGATTTCAGGAGAACTTCCATCAAGGTTTTCGAATTTGGTGAAGTTGCAGCACATGTGAGATTTCAATCCGCTCTTGATAATTTCGTGGATTGTGACTCGGTTCGTCGAGGGTGCGTAATTGCAGCGTATTTTATCTCATTCTAATATTAGAAATTGTGATGTGCAGGCATCTCAATAACAATTCTCTAGAAGGATCTATACCGAAGGAGATAGGACAACTCCCAATTGTTGTGCACATGTAATACATTTCTCGCCAACAAACAATCAATATATATGTGTCTCACTACTTCACCCAAATCCCCACAGGCAGTTGATGGCATACTCTTGAACTTCTAGTCCAATCGAACTTATTTTTCGCTTCTCCCTTGCCATTTAAGTTTTGAACATATAATTGCAGGGTCCCTGTAATTGTAAGTAGTAAACTGTTAAACTCTAAAATCCGGTAAAGTGCGAAGCCCGTAGGATCCGAAGGGTCCGACGGAGGCTTTTTTGGCTTGTGGTTTTGAATTGGGAACCTGTGCATCATTTTCTGTCACGATACTTTCTTTTCACTCGTTTATGTTGAAATATCTTCATACAAAAAGTTGCGCAGCCTCACAAAAAATCTCAGAGGATCCTACTGTTGAGGCAAAGAGACGGATCAGAATTGCTAGATTTCTGTAAGCGTCGAGTGAAAGCCTTGGTGTATACTTCCTATCTCTCAAATAGGGGCTGGGATCCAAGCCCCAAGAATTACAGCAATCGAAAAGCAATAGTACAGCATCTCCCCATAAAGTACAGCAAAGTACAATTAGTCTTGGAATCCATGTGGGAAGAACGAATTCTAGACAGCTCTCATAGATTCAGACCGGGTAGTCTAACGTAATTTCGTCCAATATTTTATTATACTCCCGCTTGACACGAGAGAGAACTAGCGAGTCATGAAAAAGCTCAAAAAAAATTCACGGTCTCTTGTTCTTTTTTGTGCAGATTGCTCGACAATAACAACATGACTGGGAAACTTCCCGCGGAGATAGCGAACATTAGTGTGTTGAGGATATTGTAAGTCTGTATTCGTTATTGGGATTCTGTCCTTTTAAGTTTACACGGAGTTTGAAGTCGTGTCTGCTATACACTAGATAAACCGAACTGTACAAACGGCGATCATATCTATACGTATTTCCTTCGATGAGACATTCCTTCATAGTCAACTGCTCCTGTACTGTATGATGAAGTTTCTCTCAACACGCACAAACAATTGTAGGGCAAATCGTCATTCTTTGTGGTTAACTTGGTGGCCTTCTCAGACAGCTAGACAACAACAAATTTACTGGTGGCATACCGTCAGACTACGGCAACTTGACAAAGTTGACCAAACTGTAAGTACTGAAATAGTGTGTGAATTTATGTAAATGCATACACCTACATACATAAATGAAAAACATATCTGTTGAAGATTAAAAAAATAATAATTGAAAAAAACAGGGCAGAAACTTGGTGTATTGTAATCATAGTTCATTATAATCTAGAACTCGCTGTATATAGAATGGAGTCACCTTCCTTGCCCTCAGACCTTTGAAGGAAATGTGTGGAATAAGTTTTTCACTTCTGAATGTGGATGGCATTCGCAGGAGTTGTAGAGATTGTGGCCTTTCGGGCCCAATTCCAGACCTAAGCAGACTCACCGAACTTGCTGTTCTGTAAGTTCTTATTTCTGCTCGTCCAGCTTCGTGTGACATTTCATATAACTGCACACGCAGTATGTTATATAAATGTTACAGAATACAATCTAGTTCGAGTTATCTCATTTCAGTTGGTCAGGATATAGAGAGTTTCGACTTGCTCAGAGAACACTTTCCAACTAAATATATGCCATAACTTTCCAGGGACTTGAGCTTGAATACTTTTGAAGGGAACATTCCGTCGCTCATGACAGGAAATATGACCTCTATGTAAGTTCCAATTCAAATTTTTCTTTATTTTTCTTATCGCTTACTTTCAGCGTTATCATCCTGACTCTGCAGTCGAGATCAATCTAAGACCTTCATTATATGCCATAACTTTTGGCTCTGGCAGAAATCTCTCCCGGAATCAGTTGGTGGGAGAAATTCCTCAATCACTTCAGTCTGCTAAACGCCTCCAATATTTGTAAGAAACTCTGTTTGTAATTTCGATTTAAATACCATGTCTCTCATCTTTTGGTTTGATTGAAGATCGCATCATTAGTGGTCGAGCCTTGATTAGTCACCTGATGAGCTGTGCAGAACACTTGCTAACAACCAGCTTGGAGGTCCAATTCCAGAGTTTACGAACGTTGATTACAGTAACGTATCACTGCTGTAAGTTTTTTCCAGTCATTTCGCTTGTAGCTAAGTAGCGTTGCAAGCTTTCGGGTAGATAAATTCTACTGATGTATTTGTAATGTTATGAACAAAGCTATGCCCTTTTTGGTACCAGAGTGAATCATCAAGACTGAATATTTGGACTGTTATTTCAGTGTCTTGATTCAAAATTCTGTGAAACTTTTTAACGTCTCACGAGGATTAAACGAGATGTGAACGTTTTGAGAGCTGAGAGTTCAGTAACATATGCTGCTGACTTGTGTGCAGGGACTTCCAAAACAATCACTTTGACTATATAAGTTTGCCAATGCTGGCAAATGCTGTGAGCAAACCGAATTTTTTTCTATGGTATGTTTATTTATCTAGCTCGCTGATTACTTTGCTGAAGTATTTCACAACTGCTACTGAGATCGAGAACGAACCAAGAGCTAGCTGAATGTCGAACACGTAGATGGTGGTGGTATCAAATCTCATTTATGTGAAAGACTTCTACCCGTATTTCAATAGCTAATCTGTTGATGAGTATATCTCCGAGTGGCTCCGATTTCATGGAGATGTGTCAAGCTCAAGTGATATCACAGGCTACATAACAACGGCAAGATCTTTCTCCTTGTAGAACTTAAATGTTTGTAATTTTGAGATGGAAAGAGTAGTAATCATGCGCCTACTAAACCGATGCTAGTGACTTCCCGAACATATGGTTTTCTGGTCCACAAGAAGGGAAACAGATAACTTCTTTGTCTTTGGTTCAGGTTGTCCGGGAACGCAGGGATCTGTCAAGGATCAGTGGCAATTTTTGAACTCAGGTCCTTATGTGAGCCGGCATATTCTGATCCCTTCAGCCAGTCTGGAACTGGTGACGAACCACCAGGGGGGCCTTTAGTTGTCACTTATAGGCTCAAAAGTCCAAGTTTTCAGATATTCACAACCTACATCCAACAACTTTTCCTCGACTACATAGCAGTTGGGCTATCTATTGATACAAAACAGGTCCACATTCTGTCATGGGAATGGCAGCCCGGTCCGAGGCTGGGGATGGTGATCTTGATTTATCCCAGTCAGGGTAAATTCAATCAGTCTGAAATTGATCGCATTGGAAACGTACTTGCTCACTGGGAGGTCAAAAATAGCACGTTCTACGGACCTTATGAACTCTTAGGGTTCTCTCAAATTCAAATAGGTACGTTATCTACAAAATGTAAAGGAGGTGGTACATAGTTCGCAAAAAGTGCACCATTTATCTCAATGCTTGCCTTTTATCTCATTGACCCCCACCAAATTTCTGCTGACTTAAATCTATAGTGATAGTCAATTCGAGAGGTCAGTTTCGATGTAGATCAGCAAGAGTATGAAATGTGAGGGCAGGCAGCTTCAGATATCTGCACTCTTGTCTGAGGACATTGTTTGGCTTCCAATTTCACCAACGAACTTAAAATTCGAGAACTGAAATTTCAAACGAGCAAGCAATTTTGCCCTCCAGAAGCTCACATAATTCAAAGGCAAGGAGCTGATCTGTCTACTAAAACACGTCGCAACATATTTTCTCCAGGAGGGGGCCTGTCAGTAGCAGAAAAAGCAGGAATTGGAGTGGCGTCAGCCGCAGTTGTAGCATTTATCATTCTGGGAATATTATTACTTAAGATGCTTCGGAATCGCTGGAGAATGAGCCCAGCAGAAAAGAGGAGACAAAGACTGTGTAAGTTCTTGGTTTATGCCTCTGCTAAATAACGTTTCGAGCCAAGCGATTTATGAAGCAAGCTTTTCCTTCTGGGCAGAAGTTAGAATGTGCTTGAAATTGACATTCCTAGAATTGCTAGACAATCATCTGAAGACAATAAAATCATACCAAGAAGGGTTCCATTGCAGTATCCAAGACCCCAGCGCAGAGCATGCTGAAAATAAAGGGAGTACAAGCATACACCTACAAGGAAATGGAGAAAGCAACCGATGGATTCAGCGACTCCAATCAGGTTAAAATACTACCTTGCTGCATTTTGAAGTATCTCAATAGCTCTGTATGGGATCCACGAATATCTCTCTGTGAAGTTTGTTGATTGTGCCTCTTGCGGGCCCTAAACTCAGCACTCCACACATTCGTAAGAGCGGTAATAAGCAGGCCAATTCTATGCGTTGTAAAAAAACTGTTTCAGGTGGGACGAGGAGGTTACGGAAAAGTTTACCGCGGGAAATTGGAAGATGGAACAATTGTCGCTATAAAGAAAGCAGAGGAGGCAGCTTTACAAAGAAATACGGAGTTTAACAATGAGATTGAACTGCTCTCTCGTTGTCATCACCGAAATCTCGTATCTTTGATCGGATACTGCAACGACGAATCAGAGCAGGTAAATTTGTACATCGTTCTAAAAAATTCCTCAATTTCGGATAAGAAATCTAACAAAATGCTCGATGCTTCTATCACCTATTTTGATATAAACGCGTTGAAATACACGGTTCATGGCATCCCTTGTTTTGTAGGAGGTCCTCGATTCTTTTTTCTCTTGACAAGATATTGTAAACCTCTGTCCATATTACTTTGCAGATGTTGGTCTACGAGTTCATGGAAGGCGGTACCTTGCATGATAATCTGAATGGTAAGTTTTCGAAGTTTCATGTATCAACGACCTCCATATGCTGGTAGGAGTCTGACGTCGTGCCCAACAGACATGATCCAATGTTTTGGCGCTTCTGAAGTATCACATGTATACAGCTGCAGCCTCTACACCTATAGACTTCGACTTACGTCTTCGAATTGCTCTTGGATCTGCCCGTGGAATTCTCTATCTGCACACCGAAGCTGATCCTCCTATTTACCATCGTGATATCAAAGCCACGAATATTCTTCTGAATGACAAGAAAGAGGCGAAGGTTGCGGATTTTGGGCTGTCACGGCTTGCTCCTGTTCCTGATCTTGAGGGGGTCGTCATGACTCATGTGTCGACCGTTGTGAAAGGAACTCCGGTCAGTGTTTCTCATCTCAAAGGTTGCCTCCTTTGTTGTTCCCAGTAAGGTTATTACAAGTTGTGCTGAACATGCCAGGTTGAGGTTTTTTTATCCATAAAGCAAAAACCCTTCAGAGTGTTGAACATTCTGTGACATACACCTGAAGGCGATATTTGTAAATTTTCGTTACACAATCAGCCAACATACAGCAGCAAAGATTCTATATCTTAAACTTCGAAATCTGATGTTTGCAGGGATACTTGGATCCGGAATATTTTCTGACGCACCAGCTGACTGACAAGAGCGATGTGTATAGTTTCGGTGTTGTACTTTTGGAGCTCCTGACAGGCATGCAACCAATTTCTGGTGGGAAGAATATCGTGCGAGAGGTAAATCTTATCACTCTCAGAGGAAATACTCCAATGTCAAGCAAACGTCTATTGTCCAAAATCAGGTACGTTGTGTACAAAGTATTTGCTTTGTTGACCGCATGTCGTGTTCCTGCTACAGGTCAAGCAAGCATATGAAAATGGAGAGTTGTTGAAGGTAATTGACACGAGGCTGGGTTCCTATCCTCTGGAGATCGTAGAATCATTTGCGAAATTGGCAGTCAGTTGTGTAGCGAACGAACAAGAAGCTCGACCTCGGATGCAAGAAGTTTGCCGCGTGTTGGAGGAACTGAACAGCAAAGTACCAGGTCAAGGAGTATGGTCGACGTCATCAACTTGGAGTATAGATAATGCGAAGGATTTTACCAGATCCGCAGAATATCCATTCGAATCAGGCTCGTTACACAACTCCCTACCCCAAAAAGACAAAACTCCTTCTCCCAATGCTCCTGCGTCTAACACTGTGACCTTCTCCGTTTCGATGCCACATGCGAATAATGTTTGTCCCCGATAATGAAAGGTGCCCTCTGTCTATATACGCAGACATCCACTCAAGTGCTCAAGCATCAGTTAGCTTGGTATAGAAATTATGTTGATTGTTATCAAAATGAGGGGTTCAGTCAATGAGGGTATATCCTGTGTTTGAAATCTGTTCTATCTCCGGTTATCAACTTGTACAAAATGTACTCTACTTTGACACTATATATGTCATTCTCCCTTCAAGAAAATGTCAAAACTGCAGTGATCAAAGATGTGAATAAAGAAACGTGCACATTGAGAGTCTGAAAGCCTTCTACCCTCTGTAGTAAGTTTGGCGTTCAAGTTCTTAGTCCTGGCTTTTCTTAGACGCGGTTTATTGGTATTGTTGAGTGTTAATGACAGCAAGAACAGAACTTTTAAGCAAGATATGTTCACGACACTAAGAATGTGTATAGACATATGCTGTTGTGTGGTGCAAGCTATTCTTTTTCACACGTCAAGTTATGCAGTTAATAAAAAGTTCCATGAAAAGGAGCAATATGTTTGAGATTTTGAGTTGACAATCTGGGAAATACAGGTTCTGTCCTTTCAAGCAGCCATGGTCAGTTCTTCCAATCGGCAGCTTCACGGTATTATCGAGTAACGTCCCGATAATTGGTGACCAAGGGGTATCCATCATCAATCATCCAGCATCTATTTTTGGCGGCAGAACTTTTAATCAGTTTTAGTTTGGAGGTGTGTGCCACATTGAGTGACAAACATCTTCAGCCATATTCTGGCTTTTTCACAATACGTATTGTCGATTTAGTGCACGCCATGTGTAAGTTCCGAATTGTACAATATAGAAGAGACTGGACAAATGAGTAGCTGTATCATAGTGAACTGTTGTGAAAATGGTTTAGGTTCCGTAATGATGGACACTCAAGTTACCTTATCTAAACCTTTTTCATTCACCCTATTTCATTCACATCAAGTAAGGTAGTAAGAGGAGTCCATGTACTTGTTAGCTTGTTTAGAAGTTGAGATAATGAAGAACTCCAGGTGTAGACATAAAGACTACATTCAGGACACAATGTCTGAGAATGTTACTAGAAATTCATTGCTTTTATTTCCAGAAAAGGCCAAACGATGGATTTATTGTAGTTTACAGCAAGCAGGCTTTTCTGTTCAGTTCGACCTATCTCAAGCTTATGAGTTTTGTTGGTTTATCGGCTTTGAAGCCTCCATCTGCTTTCATCATCCTTATTTTGGGTCTTGCTGAAGAGAAAATTTGTACAAGGTTGCTATACATGCAGATTTCCGAGCACCAAGCAAGAAAGTAGATTCTTTAATCGTTACTTCCGTAACTAATTAGTACAGCTTGAGTCAAATCTTTGAAGAAGAGCCGAAGGATACATGACCACTGATATCACAGCTGACGGAATAAGAAAATAGGAGGTTACTCATTCAGTGGGAAAAACTGTTGAAAAGATTCATGAGGTGTCTACATGAAATGGTGAAGTAAGCAGTTGAACGGTGAGAAATACATGTGCTCTCCGACTTTCGTCTGACTCAGTGTTTAGCACGTCTAAATTTCGTCTTTACTGCTTCAAAGATTAGGTACAAACTGAGTGTTTTGTTCGCTAGTAAACTGTCCAGGTCCCTGGGCGAAGCTAAGTGCCAGCCAAAGTAGTCATTCGATGGCAAGTTTCTTATTTCATTCTACACGTTCTTGTGCATGAGGAGTGTCGCTTCCTTCCAAGAAGTTTGCTGTTTTGGTGACTGAATTGTACAGTAACACCAATACAAACGCTTATCTGTCTCTGATACGGCTAATACGCTGAGGGAAAATTCACATTTTCTGTTGTCAGCTGCTTGTAGCTATAATTTTTGCCAGGATGGACACAATCGGAGCATTGATGTACGTCATAGGCTCTAGATGATCCCAATCGTTCCTCATGTCTGTGAAAGAATCCTGGTTATTAGGACCACCTACAAGAGCCCCTACATGAGTATTTGGATTCGGTGAGGATGCACCATACCAAATACTATACCCATCATTGCAGCCCACGACTTTGGAATCCTCGTGAATGGATACGATCGATGAACCACGATGATGAACGTGTTTGGGATAGTTTTCTCCAAACCCGACCATGAACGACATGGCAAGTGGATTATCACCTAATACGTAATCAACCTGGAACACACGCGAGTATAAACAGTTAGAACTCAGTCTGTAGAATGTATACTGAAACTTCCATATACGTGAAGGACTTATTTCCTTTTGATTTGTTCAGGTTACCGGTTATCATATGTATGCCTGCATCAACGATAACGAACTCCGACTGACACGTAACTTGCTACGACTGACATGAAAATCACGCTTGCCTGAGACTTGGCGAAATTGTAGAGATCTGCTGAACTGAACTTGGTATCACCACAACTAATAGTCTGCCCAGAACTGGCCAGATAGTCCGAAAAGATCATAAATAGGAACGATGTGGCCATCACATACTGCATATTATTATCATCTTGAATGAAGAGAAGGCCTCCTGTAAAAACGTGATCATTGCAAGATCCAAATGATGAGATAAATTCTATGCAGATTATATCTGAGTATACACCATAAGCGGTGTGGTGTGTTTATGGTAGGCGGTCTTGAGCCTTGCCTTAACTTTGCGATAGCTACTTGGTGAAGACCTCTTTAAAAATCTGAAGAGCACTGGAAGGAACTCTTTGACTCAGAACAGTGCCTGCTGTTTGTTGGCACATTGTTTATATCCGAATTGCGTTGACCTTAGTATCCGAATTGCTGTCATGCGAAAGACAATTTTAACATGCAGGAGATCATCGCTCATTTCAAGTAATGAAGGGCAAACGATTCCTTAACACTAGATAACAAACAAAGAAACAGGAGGAAGAGAGTATACCTGGAGTAATTGTAACAGTTTTCTGTGAGCTTGTCGGAAGATTCTCACATAAGTATGTTTCTGCTTGCGTCTTGTAGCTTGACAGGGAGGCAGTACCTCGAAAGTAAAACTGCAAAATCTCAAGCACGTCAGAAAAAGTTTGTATTTTAAGATATTTCTTTTCAAAATCTTATATTCTTGTGTTTTGATTTGAAAAAATCGGTGCCTAATTCTGCGTGCATATTGACAGCTCAGCAGCTGCAGTCACATGCTCTGAATCTTACATCCGTAAATACTTTTTACAGCGATTTCTTTGCAGTTGTTTGGGCGAGCAGAACTTATTTCCAGAGTATTAGAAAGCCACTTCAGTATTGAATAAACTCGCCTTTCGGTTCATTCTGATAGTAGATGTCATTTGCAAGTTTAAGCCCTAGATCTCGACCGAGTAGCGGGGCATAAAGTGACAAGTTTTGGCCGTTTCAGTACTTGTTTTGAGAGAGTAGATTAGAAGCTCGACCTTGGAAAGGAGAACCTGCAAACCTCCCAGTTTGTTGTCCCATAAAAACTCGTTCATTGTGTAGCTCCAACCAGCATTCTCGTTTACGTAGTTCAAGTACTTTTCTTTGCCTGTAGCTGTGTATAGCCAGGCGGCACCCCAAAGGAGCTCATCCTGGGACATAGACAGCTTTCAGCAGGTCAATCGTCATCTTCAACAGATTTCACTATAGCTAGGTCAATCGTATACATATTGTACTCCTGCGATATTTCCACAGCAATCAACAAGAATAATTGAGCCTACATTATATCACTTGTATCTGATGATGAGAGTTCAAAATTCTGCTTACCGTATAGCCAGACCAGGAACAATAATATGGGCAGGCATCACCAAAGGATCCTTTGTAGGTGTCTGCAAAAGTGAACACCTATGTCCGCGGCATGTCAAGAGGTGACTGTAGTGTAGGTATCGTCAATCCTGTCTATGAATTTAATATTGTTCCTCACTTGGCTTCGTGCTGTCAACTTAGGAGGCGGAAGCACAAAAATTATCTCGACATTCCCATAATCAAAGACCATCCGAGAACAACTTGAATTAAACCTCTTCATCAGTCAGAACCTCTTGCTCATGGGAACGGAGGAGGTGAACGCAATATACTTCTGCTTATCCTCGTTCGTTCTTACTTTCATATTGAAGAGAATGATCGAAATATTTTATGGTGAAGCAATACAATCAGAACCTTCGTTTATGGCAATTATTCTCACTGAAGATACATAAGCTCATAATATTCACTGAGTGTCATGGTTTAAAGGGATTACTCAGATTATTATTATTTTGTTCGCGCAGTATGTCGAAGTTATTGTCATTCTAAAAGTAGTGCAGTGACACGGTTGGAGCACCCAGCCAGATTTACGACGCCAGTGTAGGTAAGCGAGTCTTACCTGGACCGACTTTTGCAATAGCGTGTCCGAGTAAGATGCGTCAACGGTTCTAAAAACCATGGAAGCAGCTGCAAGTGCGGCAGCAGTTTCTGCAGCTGGTTCTGATCCTGGATATGAAGCGTTAACCTGGTAGGACTGGCGGGAAGTGTCCATATCTTCTGGACGTTCCCAGCATGCATGATCTCGGTCTGCGTTACCCACCTGGTGCATTACATTAAAAAACAATACAGATATTTCAGATATGGAAGTAGTAAGAAGTTCTGTTCTCCCTCACAAATAAGAGAAGCATTGTACATTTCCTTCAGAACCAGCAAGTTGTACCTGAACCCAAAGTTGAGTAGGCCCTGTGATTGCCTTGAGTAGATAATCAGTTATCCACTTCAAAGCTTCCCTTGCGTCATCAAGGTGCCCTGCTGCGGACAGCTGCTCGCCATATTCTATCATTCCCCAGGAAAGCAGAGTTGCTGTGAACGCCATCGGAACTCCGAACTTTACGTTGTCACCGGCATCATAGTAGCCGCCGACTAAGTCCACCTACAACATCGTCACGAAAGTATTGAATACAATACAGTATATGACTTATTACCACTTTTCGCCTTGTTTTATCTAGTTTTGAACCACTAAGACTTCTGTAAAATTTTGCTTTGTTGACGATAGTAGGCAACCTGAGGACAATTATGCATATTGAGCGCTCTGCTAAGTCCGGAGTGCCACTTTCCGAAACGCTTCCTGGTGTCTTGCAACAAATATCAAACTAAAGGAAAGCACTTCGTTGGAACTTGCTTCAATCAAAAGAAGCAAATCTTACCCCGACGTCGGACCCATCATTAAGACCAGAGTCTCCTCTCCATGTCACACGCTGAGTCGAGGGAAGCGGTCCTGAGCGTTGGCCTTCGAAATAAAGAATGCTCTTTTTCAAAGCATCCTTATAATCGATAGTAGCTGCGTCGGCACCTCGGTGAACTAGGAATGTGCAAGCAACTGCTATTGCTAGTGCACATTTCCCCAGGCTGCTCATCCGACTCGCAGTAAACAGTGTCATAGCTGTACGAGAGAAGTCTGTCACTTACTACGTTAAATATCGGCAGCTCTTGTGAGAGGCTGCTACCACCAACTTCAGGTCCTGATGGATATCAATGCTCGTGCACAACGATGCACGTAGAGCTGATTTTAGGTGAAGTCAAGCGTATTGGGGGAAAAGTAGACGGACCTTCGACCAATATTATGAGCTCTAATCAGAACCCATTGCGTGACTGCCATAAGAACCTCAGCTGCTGATTTATATAACGAAAGTGTGGACTTCGATCAAGCACAAAGCTTTCCTCTTATGACCACATCCGCTGGATGAACGACGGTCATGTCAAAATACACCAGCTAAGTAGCAAGGTGTCCGCGGTCGACACTATAGTGCATGGTCGGTTTCGAACGTCTACCGAGTCAACGCAAAGAAGGAGATTTCTCGTAGCAGAAAACACAAAACAAACATCGATTCCACCAACCGAAACTTTCCCTTGAAACCCTCTTGAACTTTCTTCACATCATTTCAATGACGTTATTTTCACGTTCAAAAAACACTTGAATCTGGGTGGCAATTATTTCGTGAATTCCAATCAAGAATGTTGAGATCAAGAACAACAACGATAGTACCTCGAGCTTCCTCGACTTTGACAATCGACCTACTGTTGATCGTAGTTACGAACTAAGTTACATCAAGGTGTACATCAAATTCACGAGTGAGGGGGCTCTTGAGTCTCGCATAATCTTTCGACTGCTTGCAACCTCAGCTACTGCAGAGGCCAGGGACCATCGGTTCAACTTACATCCCGAAAGATCAGGTTCTTGATCTGCTCATGATCTTTGGTTACTTCCCAATTCAGCCACTGCAGAGGGCAGAGACCATCAAATCAACCAGAATTTCTTGCAAAGACAAGAAACCTGTGATTAGTGTTGGGAATCGGTTCACGTCGAGACAGATGCTATTCTTAAATATTCCAGGTTTAAGCATGAATGAAGGTGCAGGATTGACAGTGTTTTGCAATCATGAGCAAAACCATGTTTTGCAAACCCGAGCGCAGCTTGTGACAGGTAAATTATGGTGTCTGAGAACAATCCTGTTGGCAACTGGACGCTCGAACCGAACGCTGCACTCTCGTTGCCGCCACACTGTGTCTCCTTTCTTATGGCGACGGGATGGACAACACTCCTCATCTGAACGCTTTTCTGAAGCTCTTTTTCATCCACTTGATCCTCCATTTGTGGTGCGCGCGTACTGTCTTATAAGGGTTGCGCTTCTCGTACTGATACTTCTCTAAAGCTCCGCAGGAAATCCAAACGTGATCTCGGGCCCGGCGCAACACGGGTCTTGTCCCGGGCGGACGAGCTCGTCATTTACCTCTTCTTGTCGCCGACCTTGGATTTCCTGGAGAACAATTCAGCGTCCATGAATGTCCAGATCTCCGTTCATGTCATGCCCGACGACCCCTGCCTTCGGATCGATGCGCCTCGGGTCAGCGCGGCCACTTTGGTGCCCTTGCTATCCCCTCTATCTGCTGCAAATCCCAATTTCGGCTCGATGCCTTGTGCGTATTGCTTCGCCACAAGAGCGCCAGATTTCCAGAGTGGAACCTCTGCGGACGAGAGTGCCGGGAGTCCCTCAAGAGGTCCCCGACTTTCTTGGCAGCCTGCATTACGCTTTGCCAATCGCGAAACCATGTCACGCGTCATATGACTTACGTGTTGAAGATGCATCCTCTCTGCATACTTCCGAGCGATCAATTAGAATCTGCAAGTCAGATCCAATAAAATGATCAACAGACGCCCTGAGCGCTGGGACTCGTGAAAAACGATGGGTCCAGTCTCACTTCGTCTAGTCAATGACATTGAAACTGGTCCAACTAACGCGAGAGAGATCTCAGTGAGACGAGTCAAGTCTGTGTAGGCCAGCAAATAAATGCTTACGATCCTCGAGGAAGAATTTGCAACTAATCGATAGCGCAAGTTCGCTAACTCGTGTGAACGCATCTATCGGTTGGTTGATTCCAACTTCCCATTTCTCGTCTACATAATCAAATCCAGAAGGAGTTCTAATTCCGATTCTGGCCATAGACGTTGCAGGAGCTCTTCTGAAGGTTATTGGATTGGCGAAAGACGGATTGACCCATTGACAGTTTCAACATCATCTAATTCGTGGTAGAGATCTCGAAGTCACCTATTCCTTCCTGCCTGCCTGCCAGCGTTGCCGCTTCTGCTCTCTTATCACTGCATTTTTCTAGTACTGCTCACGAGAATCCAGATGTCGCAGGCTCTGACGATATAGTACAAAGTTTGTTACACAAATTAGTATCAATGTTGTTGGAAAGCCAGAGAAATTGGAGATTAGGAAAGGAAATGTCAAGAGCCTTCGCGTCAGTTGAGAGTTTGAGTTTATTCGACGCAACTACATCTGTTGATTCGTTACGTTGTAACAGGTTTCTGGGAGAATGGAGGCTTAATTCAACGGATGGTTCTTGCATGAGCACTAACTAGAGCGTTTGAAGCACTTCATTCGCTGGAATGTTCGATTACGAGTTCAAGAACCGTATGACCTCTATCTCTGAGACATCAAGAGTTCATTCCATGCACGCATGCGCTTACATTAACGAGGATACGCGCATGCATAAAGTAATGTACAGCGTTACATCCTCTTTGCAATAAACTTGTTTGAGCATGTAAGGATGTGCCAAAACTTGTGACTTCGCTCGAAATTTCGACTTTTGTGGTTCATCGCGCTGAAACTTGATACGAAGGCAATCACTGGCTTGAAGAGTGAATCAAAGTTGGATTAGAAATTAGCAAAAATTCAGAAATTCTGCCAATCCATTTCGCTCGAAGTTGAACACCACGTTTCTGTCAGTTTTTACAGGTTATAATTATAATTCTCAAGAACTTAAATGTAAAACATTCAATTGCAAGTTAAGCAAAGCAAATCTTTTTCCATCCACAAAAGTGCGAAAAACAACAAATGATTTCATCCGCAAGCAGAGCATTTTCATCATAGTCGCGATGGTCATAGCGGTTGACATATTGCATATCACGCACCAAATTCATCAGACTCATATGAGACGTGAAGAAATCGATGAATTTCAGTCAATGCAAAAACAGAACAAAACAAAACTGTCTATATTTGAACCTTTGATCTAAGCCACAATTTAGTTCAAATTCATCTCGGAATTAGTTTAATGAGAGCTCTCAAATTAGAGTAATTTAACTAAAAATTGTGATACTGCATGTTTGACATTTGGTTGTGTCAACATCTTCATTTGATTGGGGAAAAATTTGCCTTACTTATTGTTGGACATAAATGAAAGCAAGCATAACTTCAACTAAAGCTAAATCAGATTTAAGATATGCACTGAATAAAATTTTCTTGCAATTTTATACCAACTGTTAGGGATTTATTTTAAAAAGAATGAATAACATATGAGAATGAAAACAAGCAAAATATCAATTCTCGCTTAATCAAATTTGAACTCTGCGTTGAGCTTTCTCACTCTTTAACGCAAAAATCTTATCTTGCTGAGTGGAATGTTACTCTAACATTATTATACTCAACTCATTAGTCTCAGCATGATAACATCTATGAACTCATCCATGTCAAGTGATGTCTCAGAGTGCAATAATAGTGCTCGGAGATTGGCTCGATGATGACTAGTGACTCATTGCGAGATGAAGATGGTCTAATTCTTCAGCCGTGAAATTTCAATGTCTGTCTTGGCTTTGGAGTTCTCGTATCTACAACACCTTGCTCTTTCCTGGCATTGCCTTTGATTCCAGTGACTTGAACCGCAGGGCAAGCTCGTCAAGGGGCTACTTTAAGACTCCAAACACCTTACCATGAAAGGATAATATATCGCACTAAAGTGTGTGTGGAGCCAAAAACAAGTAAATTAAACATTGGCGTGGTGAATTTAATACATGCACTGAATCGGCTAACAAACATTGAAATTAATCTAATAGAGCACAATAAATGATCCTAAATTTGTATGGTTGATAGATTAATTAGCTTAATCAATCATATTAAAGTAAAAATAATAAATTAAAACTAAATTTAAGTTCTAACATACAAGATACACATCTATAAGATATAATATTTAAAATATTATCAATTTGCATTTTTGAAAAAATTTACAATAAATATTCTTTTTTTTCTTCATCAATCTCATGAATTTATATAAAAATTACAATGCATCAAGAGATATTTTTCATTATGATATTCTTGATATTCGTTTTATCATACTTACTTGCTTTATTGACACTTGATAAAAAAATTTAAATCAATTTTACATGTTTGCTTCATGTGATGAAATTCAATTTTGTGGTGATTAGATCTCATCTAATCTATAAGTTATGGAATATATGACATATGTTACACATCAAAAATTGACAGTTGAATATAAATACACATTGCACATGGACAATTTATCTTTGTGGTACATATATAATAAAGTTTGTTATATCATGTTATGTTGTTGTTGCTTAATATACTTAATCTTGGTTATAATTACTCTTTTGCAAATTTGTCCATTGTAATTTTATTTTGGATGAATTTTGGTGACAAGAAAAAGTACATAAAATTTGTAATACATAGAATATTGTACATTTGTAAAATTATGTTTTGACAAGGGACATGTGTCAACCTCATCTTATTGTGAAATTTTTGTGTGATACAAATCATCTAGTTATGACTACTTTCATAAAAAGTAGCTGCAGACATACTCACATAATATAAGATTTCAGTATATCTAGATTACTCTACAAATTCAACAAAAAATTATTGTCCAATAAATCCAAAATTGCATTTTAGCATGGCTAAGTTTGAATGGAACGAAGATATGAAATTTAGAATCTAGAGAGTCTAACCAAGGAATCATCTACAATGTTTTCACGCAGTCGCGACTATGAAAATATTGTAAGAGTAATAATAGATTTGCATATCTTTTTATGATTGCAAATGATGATACCTTGAACAAACCTAGAGAACTTGATTTAAATATTCCACCATCCTCTCTTGTAACCCAAATAATTGAAAGGTCCAACCATCCATATCAATCAGCAAGCACAACAGTCATAACATTGAAATAACGTGGTTTACTTTCCAAAGGCTACATCCGCGGGCAAGAGTAGAAACTTCACTTAAGCATATGACTCCTTTTCTCTTCTATACAAGAAGAGATAAGGTGCACACCTTAGCTAACCCAATTACATTTAACTTTCCTAATCATGATTATCACTAAGTAGAGTTGATCCAAAATAGAGTTAACTTAACAAACTTCCCCTTGACTCAAGTCTTGAAGAGCTAACTAATGTAATCCACATGTATTTTTGCAGGAAGTTTTAGAATGTAAAACTAAATCACACTTTCCCTCTATAGCCGAAAGTTAACTAGAATTAAGTTGTAGCCGGAAAAAACCAGATGGAAAATACATGTACAAAAGTTACTAGACTAATCATTCCTATGCAAAATTTGCAACTTTGCGCAATGCTTGGAATAACTTTCTAATGAAATCACTTTGGTCAATGTGTCGACAGGGTTGAGCTTACCATCAATTTTGATGAACTTAAATGCATTATCAAACATTGCTTGTCTAATATAATGATATTGGATATCAATGTGTTATACCCTACCATCCATCACATTGTTTGATGCTAGATGAAGTGCACTCTGGCTGTCACAGTAAAGATTCACATCACTGTGTGACAGCCCCATCTCATGGCCAACTTGTTCAACCAAATTGACTCTTTCGCTACTTTCGCTGCTGCAACAGATTCAATTTCTGATTCTGAGAAATGCATTTTTGAAGTGTAGATCTTCAACTTGTGCATACACCAACGAGAATGAAAACATATCCAATTGTTGATCTCCGTTTATCAAATCTCCCTCATAATCAGCATCAACATACTCCAAGAGCAAACTTGCATTGTTTGATCGAGCATCAAACAATAATCCATTATCAGAGAACCCTTGATATACCTCATTATTCATTTCACAACTTCCCAATTCTCAAGTCCAAGATATGACATGTACCTACTCACCTTCCCAACTTCATATGTTATATCATGTTTAATGTGTAGCATTAGACACATAATGCTGCCAACTGCACTTTCATCAGAAATTAAAGACATCAATCCTTTTTCAGTTGCATCAGTTGGACATAAAGTTACAGAAAGCTTAAGTGTGCAACTAATGGAATACTTATAGCTTTAGCATTTGACATGTTAAACCTAGCAAGTACTTTTTCTGCATGCCGCGTTTGTGTCAACCAAAGTTTGCTTGATGACTTGTTTTTGTAGATCTCCATGTCTAGAATACGTCTAGAGATCTTTCATATTAAACTCAGTACAAAGCTGAACTTTGAATTTAATAATCTCATACTTATTCTTATGTAGATGACATGCAATAAGCATGTCATCAACATACAACACAAGTAATATGAAGCCAAAACTTGTGTTGTTAACACGCTTCATGTACACACAAGAGTCATATGCATTTCATATGAAGCCTTGCGTATGCATGAACTCATCAAGATGTTTGTTTCATTGTAAGAGACTTCACTTAAGTCCATATAAGGATTTAAGCAACCGACAAACCAAATGTTCCCTTGCTCTTTTCAAAAAATCCTCCGATTGTTTCATGTAAATCACTTCGTCCAATACTCCATGCAAAAAAGTTGTAACAACATACATCTGGTAGATGAATAGATCAAATAATGTGACAAGTGCACACAACAAGCATATAGTTGAAAACTTAGCAACTGGTAAAAAAACCTCACTGTAATGGATGCTCTTCCGCTATTCAAAACCCTTGGCCACCAATATTGTCTTGAAAATTTTTTCAAAAGCATTTGTAGATCCATCTTTAAACGTGAAGA